TTATCTCAACGTGCAAGCAGCGACAACAACTGACAACTCACAACAAAGTCACAAACATCAAAAAGTCTCAAATCAAATGCCTTCCTCCAGCAATTCTGACTCGATCAACCAACAGGCAACATTGAAGTGTATTGTTGAGCAACAGCCGCCGACACAAGCAGTCTGTCAGCCGGTGGAGTTTGGACAGCTTTTGTTCGTTTAGCTATTGGTCAGTCTGATCCATCCCCTGGGCCAGGCGACCACATTGGTTCCGTGAAATTGTCACTCGCACAGAACAGAACTACAATTGTTGAACATCAGGTGACTGGACAAAGTGATTTGACCTGACCCCGGGTAACACACAACACTCTCACACAGCAAAAAAAATGTTTGTGATGTTGATTGATTTAGTCTTGTCACCTGCCTGCCTGGAACTAGACTGCTAAGCCGTCAGTAGCAGCAAAATTGATGGCTCTTTTGGCCAGCTAGCCTGGCCTACACAGCTGAAGAGCGCACTTCAAAGACAGGTCGAGTCAGAGTGTTTGTCTTCTGTCGCACCCTGCGGGTAAAGGTAAAGGCAAGGTTGTTCGCGTAGATGTCCCGATTGGCTCCACTGGGTCGAGCAAGTTCATCATCACTGGGAAATTCAAAGTCAGATTCAGACTCGTTTTCCAAATCCATCTTGGGCATCCTATTGTGTGCTGGAAACCAAATGCCAAGCCGATCTCCGAGGCGCACGCACTCTGCATTCCCAGTCTGCACAGCGTCGTCCACCTCGCTATCAGGGATACGGATAACTGGCGGCTGAAAGTTGGGGCCGAGGATTGGCATCCCATCCCTTCGTAGAGGCAGGAAAGCCAGGAATGCCATCAGGAACAGGCAGCCAGCGACAGGGACTGTCCAGGAATCACCTTAACTCGGGATTTTGTGATTGATTGAGTCTGAAGTGCTGTGTTGCTGTCAGCTTTCCAATAATAGTCAATAGTAGCAAAAGAAATACAGTATAGTCTAGTCTAGTACAGTCAGTATAACACTTTATAACCATAACTATAACTATAACTATAACCATGCCAATAACCAACAAACAATGGCAATGGCAATGACTGACTGTGACAATAGAAAAAGAAATGCCAAATGAAAATGATGAGTCTTAAATGTCAGCATTGTAGCCTCTTCATTCCTTGTGGGCCTCACTGTGACAAGTCACCAGCTAGCTTGTTCAAAGCGGCGTAGTCCAATCCAGCCAAGTCGAGTTTCATCAAGTCGAAACCCTGCGAAAGAAGGAGCTCCTTTGGGCAACGCCATTGAAATTGAGTGTTTGCACTGTCGGCAGTATTGGACCCGGAATGTCCAGGAATATATAGATGCCCAGCGAACATGTGAGTTACAAGGCCACACAACACGTGACACATTACATCAGTCATCAGTCCTCACCGCTCAAAAACCGCTTGTCTTTGAAACTCCAGATCTTCACGGATGTCGTGAGCGCAGAGAAGCGGCCATCCACTCCAACGTGCTTCCTTCCAACTGAACCTGACACAAAACAAATGAGTGACCGCATCACACCGCACATGGACTTTTGTCTACCGATACAGAAAACTGCTGCTTTGCTTTGTTGTTGGGAATTTGAGGAGTATTGCATTGAACCAACTAGGACCGGCACGGGCTAGATCTGCAGTGCACCATTGGCCTGCTGCAGAGACACCTTTAGCCTCAGTGACTGCCCACAAGATGAGGCCGCTTTTCAACACTCACACTGCATGTGTAATGTTACTGCCTGACAAACAAACTTGTTGTTTGATCCTTCTTACTTGTCATATTGCCCACCAGTTACATATAATTCAAATGATTCATTAATCATTAAGTACATCCGCCACATCATATTTTTGACAAACGCGACAACGCGACCTACATAATTTTCAGAATCATCATTCATCGTCATCATCATCATCATCGTCGTCATCATCATTTCAAAACATATACCGTGGACCGTAGGTAGTCCATGTTTTCACTTGACCCTGGCCATTTTACAGCTGGGGCTGGGCTGAGATATGATTTCAGCCCTTACTCTCTTTCGAACCCGACAGCTTCTTAGAGCCTTCAATTTTGAGATTTAACGCGTGCTGTTTCCAAAAGATTGTTCTTTTATAGCAAATGATATTTACAATGATGATATTATGATGAATGACTGATCTTGTCGGTTCAATTATGCAAAGGTAAATAACATGAGTGCAAATAATGACTGGCGTTTTTGTTTTACGATTTAGGACGTGAACATGATGCGCGTCAATATCAATGTCATGAAGGTCCAATGAGTCATTGCTGAGTTACCGCGTCATCGCCATCTCTGTGTGTATGTTTCTTTTTTGTGGTTGTCAGCAGGCTTTGTCAAACATTTACGTCCAGAACCCAGGACAAGGAAAACCAACTAATTACTAAAAAACTGAAACTCATAACTTTCAGTAAGTAACTGACTGTACGTTGTTGAAGCGATGAAGCCAAAACCTAACAACTAACAACAACAACTACTACTGCTACTGATATTAATTTGCTTTGATTGAATGTTGAACTGACCTGATCTGATATGAATCAATATGATGATATGATTTGAACTATATAAAAGTAAAAATCAGTAAATAAATAAATAGATTTAATAGAATGATGAGTGATAGCCTTAGATGATTAGATATGATTCATGATATGATATGATTAGTAAATAGGCATAGGTTAGATGATTAGATTGAATCACAACTACTATGACTCATAACTTATAACTCATAACTTATGTTTACTGTTTATTGCTGTTTGTGATTCATCAACAAAAAATGTTAACTTAAGTTAAGTGACTTAAGCCATGTTTTAGATTTAGTTCAGAGCGGTTCCGAGCGGTTCCGAACTAAACATGCACTGCGTTTTAGAATTAGTTCAGAACGGTTCCGAGCGGTTCCGAACTATTTCCAAGTCTGGAACTAATCCGAACTAATTGGAACTAATTAGAACTAATCAGAACTAAATGGCCAAATTCCTTAGAATTAGATCAGAACGGTTCCGAGCGGTTCTGAACTAATTCTAAACTGGGCCGCAGCTATAGTTCAGAACGGTTCCGAGCGGTTCCGAACTAATTCTACACTTGTGGTGTAGACTCGTTAATTTAGGTAAGTTAAGTTAAGTTGTTTAAGTTTTAAATTTTAGTATGTAAATTATGTAAGTAGTTTTGAACCTGACCTTACCTTCCTACTTCCTATTGTCATCATCAGACCAGAATCATCATCATCATCATCATTAATTTTATTCACTGTCCACCTGGTCCACCTATGTTGAACAAACGCCAGGAGTCCAAAGGCACATTTGGACAGACAAACAAACAAACAAAATGACATCAAACAACCATGAAACAGTCAGGTAAGCAAACTGGACATCCAGGCTTTCTTGCTCTCGAAGGTTCAACATCTCACGATGGCGGCCCTCCAAATGCCTCTCAGTGTATTTGGCCATACAGCCCCACTCACCAAGTCCCAGCTCCTTGTGACAAGCCTCCACAAACTCCTTCCGCTTCTTGGAGGCTACTGGCCCGTCCTACACGTCACACCCCCACAGCCCACATGAAACCTGACCCGAAGACTTCTCAAACCAGTGGTGAAGGCGGGCAGGATTTGGAATTGGTTCCAGGTCCAGACATTTTAGAATTAGTTCGAAAGATTTAGAAATAGTTCCTGCCTTTTAATTTAGTAAGGATTGGGGCAGGCTTGAAACGGGAACCCCAAAACCTCCATCGGCGTTCACTGGGCGACTGGCAACCGGGGACTGGTGACCGACGACTGGCGACTGGCGACCGGGGTTTAGCGGGCACTGTGTGGGCGACTGGATGGTGGTTTATGGGAATTTTGGAATGAGCCCTGGCAAACTGGCGATAACAGTGATTGGGTCCTTGGACTTGGGTGGGTAATGCGGCTCCATCTCGTCCCTGGAGTGCAACACCTGCTGAAAGTAGTCTGAAATGTCCTTCAAGTAACTTCTCCCTGACAAAGGGAACGCATACCTCACCCAAGCGGCCACGGCGTCAAGCTGCCTCTTCGAAGCCAAATCTTGTCTCACCATCATGATGAACACCCGTTTCCGGGATTGAGGCATTCCGAAGTTTGCCGCGCTCAGCTCGGTATCAGTCAGTAGACTCATGACTATGACTCTTGTCAATGTCAAGGTCCTATCATAATATATTATTAATAATTTATTAAAATAATATATGCTATTCAAAATTCAATATATCATAAACTGCAATTTGTCCTATCAAAATCATAAGGTTCAAAACTTGATGAACCTTGAACTCCTTTGCGCATACCGTGGCTATGACTTGAGTGCCTCTCCTGTTTTGCATATGCACCGTGCATGTCACATGAATCGGGTGTATGCATTCCAACGTAACCTCAACCTCCCAACCTCCCATGAAAAAGGCCTGTGCCTTTGAAATTGCACGTTTGTTCAACGTTTGTTGTCCTGTCCTGTCCTGTCCTGTTTGTTTGTGTATTTTCCTGCAGACTCCTATCTCACCGAATCCTGAAGCAATGGATTTGAACCACTCCAGATCACTCCTAGGGCAAGCCAAGTCTCTCAAGTTTGAAAATCTCCATGTGATATCCATCGATCAGCTCCAGTCCAATGGGTTCAACACCAAGATATCCACGCAGCATAAAATCAATCGGCGCCTGACGTTGTTGACCAGGAATGGGACCCAAAACACAAATGATATGGTCGGCTGTCAGCTGCGTAAACATTGATGGATGCAGTCTGTAAATCAGTGACTTGTAAACCTACAAATGGTGCACCAGTTTCCTTCTTACCAATAGTCGCCAATGCCGATAATAATAGTTGAACATTCCAATTCCTGATTCATAATCCTAATCGGAACCCACAGCTTGAAACCCAGACAGTGACACGTGCCACCAGCCATCCTTGTTTTCTCACAACAGCGTTGCGTCATTTTGACACACGCCTCAAACGTGAACGGACTCAATCTGGAGTCTTCAATTCTGAGACTCCAAAGCACACAGGATTGATTTAGCATCATTCACAACTTTGTTGTCAACGTGAGCTTCACTTTGTTGTTCAATGATTTCTCTCAGCTTTGGCACCACTTGGCTTTTCAACCCAGAAGCAAGAGTGAGCGCGTACAAGCAATGGGAGTGGCACCAGCTCGATGGGCGCACTTTGCTGTGAAACCAGCAAAAACGCACACTATTCACTGGAATTTTCGTTCGGCAATGCACACACATGGAACGCCCAGAGATGGCAACTGCGGCATCGCTCAATCCAAGCTCTTTGGAGAAAAAAGACGATGAGCCACGTGGGGTTTCCAACTTGCTGGACAAAGCTTGAGCTGCTTCTGACCTTTCCTTATCTGTTTGGCTCACTTCCTCGGCCAGTGGTGCAATCTGCTTTTCTTCAAAAGCCACTGTGCTACTCATAGGAACTACCTTCTCCTCTTCTTTGTTGATGTTGATGTTGCCCTGTTCCTCGATGTTGATGTTGTCTTGATTTTCTTCATCAGAGGACTCAGAGCTCTTCTCCATGTCAATGTCAGACACTTCTTCTTCTGGCTCAATGTTTGGGCGAGAGGATTGCGCAGGAGTGTCTTTGACAGACCTCTTCTGTTTTGCTGTTGAACTTGCTGCCCGTGTTTTTTTCACGGTGGATTTCTTCTTGAGTTGACTTTTCCTAGGCTTCCGGAACATCTTGTCGACTCCAAAAGGCAGCTTGACATTGACCTGTTTGGTCTTCTGTCTGATTTCACTGGAGATTGTGAACTTGCACATCTGCTTGTTCGGGTCACTTTTCAAATTGTAGTCTGAGGTGTTGGGCTCCAAAAATGCATTGCACTCCCACACTTCGACATTCACCAGAAAAACTACTTCTGGACTTGCAGCGCAGGATCTGAGGAGCCCCAAAAGAAGTTCATGTGAAGTATCGAACTCTGGCACATTGCTTTCGGAAGTAGTCAGCGAAACCTGGTCATGCTCAAGGGCAACTCGCAGCAGCATATGACACTTGGGTTTCTTGACTGACACGCCCAAAATGCGGGGATGCTGTACGCTGTCTGTCAACCCAGCCCTGCTTGGCACTGAAAACAAGAGCAGGGAACCTGGACAAACTGCATGCTCTTCAAACTTCCAAGACAATGACTTGACCAGCTGCTCCATTTGCTTGTAGTGCGGATCACGCTGACAAACAAAATATTGGCAAGGGGCGTCATGAACTTCAACTTCTGAGAGGTCGGCGTTGTGTTCCTCTGAGATATAAGACTCAAGGGAAGTTGGGACAATGGGTGCGTGCAGGGTACCATCCAGCCACTGTGAAATGTCCTCATCATCTGCTTGCAAATCAATCATCGATGCTTTCAATGCTCCATTACCTAGGGATTGCTTGACCCTACTTCTTCTACTGGGTCCCAAAATAATGTTCACGTTTTTTGTTTGTAGGCTTTGGCTGACTGCAATGACTGCGCCAAAATGACAAAGTAAAACACATGACTCATAACCCTGACCCAAACAAAATGTGAATTACTATTGCTTTGGCTTTATTTTCCAAAGAGAGGAAAGGATATAAATACTGCTGCGTTGCTTTACTTTCATGAACCTGTTGATGGTTTATATTTGTCAGTCAAGTTATAAGTTATAGGCTAGGCGTCCCTTATCATAGGGTTTCAGCTTTTAGTTAGTGAGTCTCTAGGCAGCTTTAGGAAACCCGACCCTACCCACAGACTACATGTCCTATACCCTCCCTATCTATGAACCCTACAAATTTTATGCCGACAAGGGGACAAACTAACAGAAGCAAACCTGCAGTGCAACTGTCATAGTAAAGAGGGCAGGGTGCTCTCAGACAGGCAAGTTGGCAAACCCCAGATGGGTTCCTGCTCGTAGTCGGCCAGATTCAACAAAAGCCGCTTGGCTGACAATCGCTTGCAAGATTTCTTCCCAACTTCCAACTCAAGCGGAGTAGGGTCTGCCTTTCCTGAATGTGAAGGTGCAACAGCAAGTGGTGTGGCTGCCAAGTCGGCCCGTAGCTGTTCCTGGCGAGTGGCCTCGATGTAAAAGCCCTCCTTCTCCTGTGGTGACATGTTCCTCCACTCATTCGCGCACTCTTTTTGTCGTTGAGCATAAGTGCCACTGTCAGCAACTTGTCCTTGCATACGCTCCTTCACAAACACGTTCCAGCCTGACATCCTACGAGGCTTGCGCGCCACTGCCTCCCGCAACCGGGATGCTGCTTCTTCAGCAGTTTCCAAGTTGATGCCTTGTTGTCGTTGTTGGTCCTTAGGTCAGACTGAAACAAACTTGATAGGAGGCAAGAGGGCTGCCATGGCCATATGATAGGTGCCAGCGCAAGATCTGTAATGATAAATCAACTGCATTTGCTTTGTCAATTGCATAAGTTATTTGTTTTAAATATCAGAATCAGACTATTGACATATTGAATATTGTAATATTGACGAGAATATATTTCTTTGTTGAACTGCCAATGGCAATACAATGTCAGTGCGTCGGTGCGTGACAACATGTCCTGTGTCCGCTCTCTAGTTCCCAGAAAACTGTTGATTGGTGGTGGGTTGATGGGCATCACACCCTCAGGATAAACAAAACAGTAAGTTAGTAAGTTAGTATTGTATCTGTATTAGTAGTATTAGTATTAGTATTAGTATCCTTCTGGAGGCCAAGTGGCCCCCTCCATATTGGCATTTTTGCCGCGCTTTGCTCCTGCCATCCGCATGATCCCAGAAGAGACTGCCTTGGAAGGCATGGTGGTAGAAGAGGCCGCATCAGAAATCCATTTGTGGTGCTTGATGGCACCTGAAAGCAAAGAAACTTCCAAAGCGGAGCGGCCTGCCTTCACATACATAGATCCTCTTCGACTCAAGCACCATTGCATCTGCCCATGCAATATCTCCACAGCGTCAGATGTCAATGGTGTCCAGACACAAATTTGCCTCAGAAGGCTTTGTAACTCCTCGATGTTTTTGGGATGTTCAACTGTCATAACTTCGGGATAGGCATGGAGAAGGGCTGTTGTAAACTCATAGTCAACGCAACACTGGCACTTGGCGTGCTTTTTCTGCAAACTGTTCCAGCCTGACAAGAAAGTTGGAGCATCTGCATCAGCCAACGCGAGCAAACTGTATGGAGGCTGCAAGAATTCTTGAATCAGCCGGCGATAGAGATCTGAGACTGAAACTACAATCATCTGAAATATCAGATTCAGTTGTTCCTGTGAGCCTTCCAAACCATTTTGCATCGCCTCCTGGAGACTGTTGCTCAACAGGCCGATGTAGTTTGACAGCAGGTCCTTGCCCATGTTGCCCTGAATGACTTGCAAGAATCTTGTTTTGGACTCATCCTTCAGAGACTCAAGCTTTGGGCTGCCATGGCTGAGGTATTGCAAGTCATACAGAATTTTTGTCCTTCGAAGGAAGAAGTTCGTCGCCCGTTCCATTGGCTGCACCAACATGTCAATGATAATGCTTGACTGGTTGAAGTCTTTTTGAGAAACCTCAGCCAACACCATTTTCCGGCGAGCTCCGTTTTTGGCAGCGTAGCTGGTATCTTCATCCAACACTTGTCCCAGCAGCATTTGGAAATCTTGGCTATTCAGCGCTTCTGAGCCTTGTTGCCCACCACCACTTTCAGATAACAGGATGTCCACCATGTCTGACAGCGCAGTGTTGCCACTAGCATGGGAGCCACTGATGTTCTCCATCTCTGTCAAGATCCTGGGCAATAGCCCACAAAGATTGGTGGCCACCTTCACAAAGGACGCTGCAGGTGAGTAGTGCTTCATTCTATACAGCAACGGCACCGGGTATCCTTTGGACATGAAGGCAGTGAGCAGTGTGAGAAGCTTTGTTTGAGAGGCTGCCTGGTCTTCACAGCAAACATTGCCTGCATTGTGGGTTGGCAAAATGCACCAATGAAACAAAGGCCCCTCGGGATCTGCGGTGTTTCCATTGAGGAAATCCAACAGCTGCTCAAGTGCAGCTTTCATAGACTTGGATCCAGCATCAAACCCTTTGAGTAGCCAATCTCTTCGTTGCTTCCATTGAGGCATATCATCCGGGAAGCTGGCGACTTGCACACCTCAGTTGGATTCAGAATGCTTCGGTTGTGGTAGTAACAAAAGAAGTACAGGAATGTTCGGAATGAGTCAAGAGCGAAGTTTAGTTCTAAGCATTTCAGCAAAGACTGAGCAGGAAAAACACATCAGTCAGGGGAATTTGGCTTCGGCCTAGGCTGTGCTAGTGCTGTGATGTAAAATATATCTCCTTTGCTTTGTGTTGCAGCAGCTGCCACATGCAAAAACATCACATCACACACACGAAAAAGTGCTCTACAGGACTGATCTGTCATCTGAACCTGACAACATGGAACCCGAGTACCACCAGTACTGCTCAGTAGTGAGACTCACCAAAACACACAAGGACAAGGTTGATGTCAAGGAACACTGGAAAACACCAGGCTTCTGCACCAAGCTGACCATCGCCGCAGTAAAGCGTCTTCGGAAAGCAGCGCATTCATACAAATGGGACAGCCTCACTAGGGTTGCCCAATAGCGGCCAATGCCCAGGACAATGGGCTTGCGTACTAGTCCAACTTGATGGTTCAAGCACTTAAATCGAATGGCAACTGTGCGCCACCCATTGTCTGATGAATGCGCGCGCTTGACAGCCAATAGCTGCCTCTCCAATCGGAAAGCAGAACTGTTGGCTTCTAAAGCATCTCCACACATCAGCTGAACGATCCATT